TATGTATGTATATGTATATGTATATATATGTATGTATATGTATATATGTATATGTATATATGTATATATATATATATAGGTTTAGTGACAAAAGGTTGAGCAAGTAAACACAGTACCGCTAAACCTGACCATTCCATCACTTGAGATAATTAAAAGGACAAAGAACAAGAAAGAATTGAATTATTACAAGTACATGAAAGACAGTCCAAGGCACATTGTTACTTATTTATTTCTGTCCAATTCAAAGTATATTCTTATGTTCCAAATACAGAGAAAAATCGATCAAAAAGATATATAAGAAAAATCAAAAAGGGATTTAAAAAACCCTGAACTCAGTGATTAAATTTAGTCATACATTGATGAACATATTGTCCTCTAACACAATGACCTCTACTGGTACTCAGGACGTATGACACACCGTGCTCACTGGCTGATAATAATATTCAGATACATATACATCATCGTATGTTCCAACAGGTTACAGGGATACAGGATAATACAAACAATACATGATATAAAACATAATACACCTTTTTGCCCAGCGTAAGATTAATACCAGGGTATTCTCATATATATGTACCCTTCTGCATAAATTGCGCCGATGTCCTTAAGGGAGCCTTGCTCGTTAAGGGGCAAGAATGCGGACGCGGTCCGATGCCTTACGTAAGGCTGTATGAGACCTTAACCGAACCTTAAAGTAAACATAAAAAGTTAATCAGTAAAAACGTGTGTGCAGGTATGTGGTCATCCTGCTAGGTCAAGGGCTAATGGTTGACAAGCTCTAGGGTTAATGCAGAATGTAAACATCAGCAGAAGTTGAACCCTGTGTGAAACTATCTGTAAGGCTGTGAAAACATCACGTCACCTTCATCTGTCACCCGGAAAGTAGGTCACAAAAATGGGTCACACAAGTGGGTCACAAAAGTGGGTCACATACCCAACCACTTGGTCACCTGGAAAGTCTCTACAAGGCGTGTGTGTGTGTGTGTATGTGTGTGTGTGTGTCGTGTGTGTGTGTGTGTGTGTGTGTGTGTGTGTGTGTGTGTGTGTGTCGTGTCGTGTCGTGTCTGCACATCCGTGCAGCAGGCGCCATCTTACAAGAGACACAGAGCCCTATGCCTCTCTAGGTTACATTTTTATTTTTCTAAATTTTTTATTCGTTGTTTTGCTGAGCAGCAGTACGGTGCCTGTTAACACCTAATAACCAGGGCATTCCGTGTAGAGGGCATTCACAATTTCGCAAAACACTCCAACTCGTCTAACAACATGTTACTCTTTCTGTCGTCTTGGTATCCCATCTTAAGACCCTTACGCTTGCACATCTAACATATTCATCAATCACACTATTTCTACCACGACCGCACAACACACGTTATGAAATTAAAATTACACTAACGGAAACTACACCACAGAGAAAAGATGCTATAAAATACATATTTATCAACAACATATATATATATATATTAAGAAAAAAACGATCAATCTGTATTTAGCAGCAGTCGGACATAGGGAGTCTTAAAAGAGAGGAGGGAGAGAGTTCAGCTTCCTAACAGCCTGGTGGACGAAGCTGTTTGAGAGTCTGGTGGTGCGAGCACGGAGGTTCTGGTATCTTCTCCCAGAGGGCAGGAGGCTGAAGAGACTGTGCGAGGGGTGGCTGGAGTCGCGCACAATCATGGTCACTTTGCGGGTGAGGCGGGTGTCGTATATGTCCTGCAGGGAGGGGAGTGAGGGGAGTGATGCACCAATGATCCTTCCAGCTGTGTTCACTATGCGCTGCAGGGCTTTCCTGTTGTAGTCAGTGCAGCTTCCGCCCCACACAGTGATGCAGTTTGTCAGGATGCTCTCAATGGTGCCTCGGTAAAAAGTGCACATGATGGGTAGAGGCGCCTCTGGGCTTTCTTTGCCAGTGATGATGTGTTGGCTGTCCACGAGAGGTCCTCACTGATGTCCACCCCCAGGAATTTGGTGCTGCTCACTCTCTCTATATCAGGACCATTGATGGTCAGTGGTGGGTGTTGAGTGTGGCCTCTCCGGAAGTCAACAACAATCTCCTTGGTCTTGCTGTTATTCAGAAGGAGGTTGTTGTCTCTGCACCATGTGGTCAGAAGGCTGACCTCCTTCCTATAGTGGGTCTCATCGTCGTTGGTGATGAGATCAACCAGAGTTGTGTCGTCTGCAAATTTGACCATGTGATTGGTGCTGTAGGTTGTTGTGCAGTCGTGTATTTCCTGTTACAGAGCTAAAGTAGTAGTTGGGGCATGTAGCTTGTCTGTTCTTGGCTTGTTTTGGTATGGAGCTCTGGCAGAATGTAACCTTGGTTTGGCCATTCTCCCAACAGATGATATAATATTTAATATTGAAACAGAAATTATAAGCACAGACACTGATGGATTTGAAGATTATTAAGATTATTATTTTTTATATTAGACAGCCTACCCCTTATAGTTTTCTAGAGAACATGGAAATCCAGAGCCATTGGTTAACACACCTCACTCTATAGACCTTTTGACCAATGAGTAGTCACAAAAAACACATTCCCCCATAAGGACTGTATGTAGGGCATAGGATAACATGTGGACTTGTCAAAATGGTAAAACGACCAACTCGGATGTGGAAAAGTTATCTGGGAGTAGGCTGATTCTGGTGTGTATAAAAGATCATGTATTTGAGTGTGTTCTTCCGCCGCTCCATGGACTGACTTGGCTTTTGTTATTTTATAATAAAAGTCTCTGCTTTATGAAGATCTCTTGTCTCCTGCTGCATTTTTCCAACTCCTAGTGAAACTCCGAGTTCAAACCGTCCTCGGCAAAAGTAAACATTGGTGTCCTTATTTCCAGAGCCAGATCTGATTTAAGTCAGGCTTATCGCTTTTCAGCCCCACAGTCACAGTCTGTGATCCATGTGTGCTGGAGGAGAAAAATATCTGTCAACTCCATCTGTGTTCTTTTGTATTCCCCTACTCTACCCCCTCCTCTTAGCTCAGTGAGCTTAGAGACGGACTGAACCAATCATCATACATCTTCCAGAAACTTAATCAAATATAGTACAGCTGAGCTGTACATGAATGACAAAGTAAGCTCTTACTCTCTTAAAGAGAATGGTATTTGTTTTGTCGCGCACGGTGCCCCCGCATGTTCTAAAATAAAAAGAGGCTTCTGTTTGAAACGAACGGAAGTGAATGAGGATCTCTCAGAAGTGTGTGCGCAAACTGAGGGACCTCGCTGGCGGCTAACGACCGGCTACATTGATCCATCATAAAGTGGAGAGAAAACAGATTGAAGGTATTTCTTTAAGTACGTTTGTTTTGAAATTTACCTGTAATTGTGCATTTGTCTGTCAGAATCTGTCTCTATAAAAAGATTCTGCATTTACATGTACTGTAGAATCTGATAGCAATGGGACACTATTTTGGCATGGGAAGCGTTTTTTTTTGTTTGTATCCAATTTGTCAATTAGCTATATTAGGTCAGTGAGACACTGGAATGTAATGTTAATCTCAGTGCATGGCTGCATGTACATTTATTACTTCATTTTTTTAATCCAGTATAAGAAATGAGATCTATAAAATAAATAAAAGCAGAAAGACTTCTACATGTGGTTGGCACATAAATTATATAGACAGTATAGGCTGTTGAGTTGTACAACAGGATCAAGGAACAGCTTTTCCTTCACCCTGATGGTTTGGGGGATCTGTATGATTCAGCAGTTCACCAAACTGAGAGACATACTCTAAGACATGTCATTTTGGAAGACTGGTCAAACAGGACCAACTACAGCTAGTGACAAATGGCCAATTTACAACAAGATAGGCCTCACTAATACTCCCACATTCCAGGATGTGCACACTGACCTTCCAGCTGATCAGTATTTTAAACACCGGGATCAATCTAATCCCACAAAAGGCCAACCGCCACACAATTGCCAGTTTCATTCCTAAACGCATTTATTTCTCTTCAGCCCCCCCCCTCCAGAAGAAATAGACCTTTTTCGAGAGTGTGTAAATCTTAAAACGGCGGCTTGCTGTTTCAGTTTGCACGTGTAAATGGAGCTTTTGCAAAACAATAACAAAAGCTGGCCCACTGAGTATTGGGGGCTGTGTGAGCAGTAATGTTAAGAAGAAAATCTTCGCCTCTACTTTTCTCTGTGATCTTCCATTTTAAATGCCAGTATAGCCGAATACACAGCAAAAGGTGCCAGAGAAGTGCTGTTTTAAAACTTAGACAATGTAATGTAGATGTAGTCTGAAGTTCTGCTGCTTTGGCCTTTGGGAGTGAATCAAATATTTTAAGCCATGAAGCTTAAAGTCATTGGTTAAAGTCAAACTCAAATTTGTGACTGCAAACAACCCCACTTTTTGGGATACAATCATCATTACATCTTCTTCTCTGACAGGAAGCTGAGCGAGGAGCGACCCCACGTGATGCTTAACCAGTTTCCCTGCGAGAGCATCGTCACTGTGAAGGACTGCATGGCTGCCGTGGCCCGCAGAGCGAAAGGCGGCTCACAGCCCGATTGGTTACCAGAGACCTTCAACCTCCAATCAGAGCTGCCGAAGTTCATCAAGCGTTATCAACAGAGACAGCAAAGGTTGGAATGTTATTTTTATTGGTTTTAAATATGTTAACAAAACCAAGAGCATGTTGATGGTCTGATCAGCACTAAACGATAAAAGATGTCCTGGTGTGTGTTTCAGGGGAGAGGATAACCACTGGATCTGTAAGCCCTGGAACTTGGCCCGTGGCCTGGACACACACATCACCAACAACCTGGACTACATAATCAGACAAAGAGAGAGTACGCCAAAGGTACACACACAAACAGACATCATGAAACAAACTCACCTAAGATCATGTACATATTAATCTGACTATAAAAGCATTTTGAATGCATTTTGAGTTTTTAGCGTCTTGAAAAATGAGTCAATTGATGTTCAGCATTTACATTGAAACCATGAATCACTTGTTCAGTTGGCACCCAATAAATCGCTTTGACACCTTGTTGTGGACATTAACCTGTAAGCACACAGAAATAAAAAAACACACAAAACATTTGACGAGTTTAAAGCAATGATTAAGAAATATCATGTTCACTAAATTCTGGAGGGAGAGGCTCTACCCAGTGACCAAAGTCATTCACTATTCATGCTTCCAACAAAGCTAACACGGGAGTTTTAAGCCCCGATACAGGGCTAACTAGTAAATCAGCTCTCTTTTAAAAGGTTGATAAGCTGGTGGTCGAGGAAACTCGCCTGGCTTTGCTCACTACCGTGACTCCTGACGTCTACCCTGCTTCCTCTGGTAACTGCACAAGGCCGAGAGGCGCCCTGGCCGAGTGCAGCTCAGTCGCGTCAGTTAATGGCAGCTTTCCTCTTATGGATCTAGGCTCTTGGTAAGATGCCAGGATAGGTTTTGATTCCTAAGATTGAAGCTATAAGGGGTTGTTTAGTGGACTAGGAAGTAGGATAACCATTCAGAACTCTATAGTTGTTATGCACACAATAGTACTTTAACTTTTTACAACCATGAGTACTCTTGAATGAAATCTCAGAGATATTTACTTTAAATACAGTTTAGATATTTATTGCAGGATAATTAGCAATGGCAAAGTAACAACTCACACAAATAATTCTACTTTACTTCAATTCATTGCGATCTGATTATAACTTTAAATTCCTACTGTGCCGAGACTGGGTGAAAGAGTGGCCGGGCCTCAACTCCTCCTGCGAGGGACAACAAAGTTCGTTCAGCGGTTCTCTGGGCTCAGTACAAAGTCGGAGAGTAGCGTCCTCTATTATCCAGTTTCAAGCATGGTGGAGAGGAAAATCTCCGTCAGCCAATTCTTGCTCACGAGCGGTGTTCTCCTTGCCGTGAACAGAGACGGAGTCCTCCGATGCTCCTCTCGAACAATGTCCAGTGGTCTCAGCTGAGTACTGGACGGTGTCCAGCATCAAATCCCCACTGCTGGGAGTCAGTAGGGACTCCTGGCAGAGTCTCATTCTCTGCTAAGTTACTCTACATATTGCCCTGTCAGGCCTTCCCCCCCTTCCCCCAAGCTCTCTCACCCCCGGCACATGAATCTTAGTCATAGTATTGAGTTTTACACAACCACATTACGATTTAACAGAATACATATTCCTTATTTGGTTAATCGGAAGAACATTACTTAATTTCTTCTTCTCTCACAGACACAGATCTGAACCGGAAGGATACACTTCCTTATATGGTCAATGGTAGCCCACTCTCTGTCTCATCAAGAGAGACAGAGGGTACATCCCAAGTCTCTTAATTGCATCCCCGTTTCCCTCACTTGCGTCCTTTCCTTGCGTCTTAGTCCCTCCCACCAGGGATGCATGGAGAGACGCAAGGAAACCATGCGAGGAAAGAGGAAACGAGGAGATATTTTTTAAGAGATATGAGACGTCATTTCCTCAGTTGCGTCGCGTAAAGCGACGTCAGCTGTGATCAGCTGTCAGTCGGCTTTAACAGCTGGAGAGACTTCTGATAAGTTTGTGTCTGTTCACATGATCACTGTACTTAATAATAGTTACGAATAAAGACACACAGTTATCATCACTGTAGAGGTGTTTTCTCTCTGTAGCCTGTTACCTCTTTAACAAACTGTGTTCTGTTTATAAGTGCAGGATTGATTTCTACCGGCAGAATGCATTTGACTTATTTATTAATTATTTGCGTCTGTACGTTTTGAAATTGTGACTGTGACGTCATTATTAAATAACCCAGAATATGATTATGGTTTCTCTTGAATACTAGAATTAATTCATTAGGCTCAATGTTTCAGGTTAAACTTAAATGATAAAACTCATCAAATCCGACACTCAGGAATGATCAGCCTCACGTGACTGATTGAAAATGATGATAAATGATCTCTCTGACTTTAATTGTATCCATAATAAAAGTTATTGAGGGAAATATCAGATCGTGAAAAGACAGATCTTTGTAATAAATGAAGAAAGTTGTTTGTGGTTGTTGTTCAGTCTACAATGAACATATATTAAACCAGATAGTGAATCAGAAAACTAATCAAATATAAACTAGAGTTTAATCTGTGATCCGTCTTCACTGTTTACATTTTGAAAAAAATCGTATCAGTCCGATCAGCTGCAGCGTCCAATCACATAACTGATGAACAATGAGGGGGCGTGTCGGCCGTTAAAACACTTCCTGGAAGGCTGTTCTCGTGCGTCCTCGCTCATGGATCCTCAGAGATCCCTCCTCGATCCTCCGAGCTAAATAAGAGCTTTGGGATGGCCGTCAATATGGCGGAGCAGAACAACTTCCGGTTCAATCGAGGAGCGAGGAAATGACAATTAAGAGACTTGGGATGTACCCAGAGAGACCCGTTACCCCATCCTGACATATGCAGCAGCACTTCCTCTTTTTGACTCAACCGTCCAAACCGTCCCAACGTCCTGCTCTTATGAGGACACATACAACAGTTTACAAGCACACACACCCAGTATGATCTCCAAACTTTCCAGCACTTTCTGTCAACCGACTCATTATTATAATCACTAATAATCATTAATATAATAATTTACGGCAGCTCTTCTGGGATCTCAAACCTACCTGACACCTCTTATCCAGGGATTCTAGCCTGAAGGTAGTGTTAGATCCGGGGGTTCTCTGGCCCGATACGGGGCTACCTACTGACTCAGCTCTCTATTAAAAGATTGTCGAGCTGGTGTTCTGTCGAGGAAACTCGCCTGGCTTCTGCTAACTACCGTTACTCCTGACGTCTACCCTGCTTCCACTGGTAATGTGCACTCGGCCGAGGGGCCACCCTGGCCGGGCGCTTCTACCTAGTCGCGTCAGTTATGGCAGCTTTCCTCTTTTGGATCTGGGCTCTTGGTAAATTGCCAGGTTTGGTTTTAACGGCTAGGATTATAACTAAAACCGTAAGGGACTGTTAAGTGGACCGGTCACTAGGATAACCATTAAGAACTCTTGTTGTTAACATACAATAGCTTTACTCTTTTACTGCCATGAGGAACTTCTACTACCTCAGCAAATGAATGCTCTTGAGAACTTTACTTTAAATGCAGATTAGATATTTATTGCAGGTTATATTTAGCATGGGCACAGCTACAGCTCTTCATAATGTAATACGATACTTAATTCAATCAGGTTACAATTTCTTTTCAGGTTATACTCATTAATTGTCGATGCCGAGGCGGCTCGGTGGAGCTGGATTCACGATGTAATAAAAAGTCCTTTGTGGGGTTTTCAGGAGCTGGAGGTCCGGCTGAACCCTCAGCTCCTCCTGCGAGGCCAACGAAGTCCGTTCAGCGCTCTCTCAGACTCAGTACAAAGTCTTTTAGGGCGGCGGCGTCCCTCTGTTGTCCGGTTGTTAAAGTCAAACAGGGGGGAGAGGAAAATCTCCGTCTTTCAATCTTTGTCCTGGAACGGCTATCTTCTTTCCGTGAACAGAGACGAAGTCCTCCGATGCGGTTTGTTGAGCGAGGTCCAGTGTCTTCTCCGTGGAGCACTTGGGTGGCTCCCGCGTTGAATCCCGTCTTGCTATCTGCAAGTCTTCCTTTTTATAACTTGGAGCTCTCTCCCCTCCCTCCTCCCCAACACTCCCTCCCTCGGCATGTGATTTACATGACATCATTGATTAAATGTGTGTGTGCTGCGAACAACGCCCTAACTTTCTGGTGTGGATACTCTCACTTCCTTCTTTTCTGGGCATGTGATTTACATGACATCATTGATTATATGTGTGTGTGCTGCGAACAACGCCCTAACTTTATGTGTGTGGATACTCTCACTTCCTTCTTTTCTGAGCGTGTTCGGACATCACCCCACCATCTGTTATGATCTCATCCTTTAAGGTCCCCATCCTGCTTACATCAGCTCTTTCCACACACACAGAGACTTCACTTCTTACTCAGTTATACATTTGTTAAATCACTTCATTATCATTATGTTATACATACTTGCTTTAAAATGATTACTTATTATATGCTTTGTGTCCCCTTATCCTACTTTCATATCGAACTGTATTCCTTCATTTAAGGCAGCTTTCCTGGGATCGCAATCCTCTTTTTTGACACCCCCTTCTTGAGGTCGCAGGCTGCCGTGCCGTGTTAGTCGTCCCCCTGCAGGGAGTCGTCGTCGCGTGGAGCGGAGATGATAAGCACGTCGTCGTCTAGTGAGGATGGGCTTGATTCCCGCTCCGAGCTGTCGACCACCACCAGGCCATCCAACCCCGGCGGCTGCAATCCCAGGAGTTCGTCCTCCTCATCTGCCTCCTTCAGCTGCGCGTCCATGTCCCGCGTCAGGGCCAACACGTTCTGGTCCAGTATGGTGGTTGGAGAGAGGGAACCCAGGGTAGGGGCAGGGCTGCAAAAAGTGTCGTCTCCATTCTCCCGATAGCCCGCTAGCCCTTCAGGGATGACTTCTACCAGTTCTCCCCATTCCTCATCGTATCCCCACATTCCCATCAGGTTTGGTATTATTCCTGCGGTCTCCGTCTGTATACCCACGTCGCGGTGTTCCACCTCTGTCTCGCTTGCAGCGTCGTTGATGTCCTTGGGAGGAGGAGATGGTGATCGATAGAGCACCGGAGGTAAGCGTGGGCCAATGACGACGAACCGACCATCAACAAGATGGGTGGTAGATACCCGAGTACCATCAGGCAATTCCCATAATTTTGTATATACTGGACAGTACATACCATTAGTGTAGAATTGGATCTGAGGTTCAGCTCCTCCTGCAGAATTCCATATTACTTTCGCCTGTGTTTCTATTTCCATACAGTTGACTACATTCATTGCCGGTATAAA